AATCTTTGAATAGGGAGCTCCTGGCTACAAGGGAGACAAGGTAAGATTTTTATAGAAAACAAGTAGTCTGAAAATAGATTGTCACTTGCTGACAGTGTATGTAAACAAATGGAAAGAAAAGCCTGTCTTGTCTTTTTGATATGAGAGGTCCTAATGCAATCCCTTCAAGTAAATTCATCATTTATGTAGATTTCATTAGAAGAATGAATTCATTTCATGGAAACATTCATTTCATTGAAATGTTTCATGGAAATGGGAAAAGTAGACTCAGATGTCTACTTTTCATATGTTTACTGATATGTTAAATCATCAGTGGAACACATTAGTAATTCTCTTTTTTCATTCCATTCATACAATTGCACAATTGTTATTCAGCGAAATCTCAGACATCACAATTATGAAATCAGAATATAGAGAGGCAGCACAGAGAGGTGGAAAAATACAGCAAAACTTTCTAGATATTAAATGTATTATCCTCCTATGATATAGGTTGGAAATTTTGTAGGCATTCTCAGGGAGAAAAAGTATCTATCTTGAGTGGAGCAGATCATATCTTCTACAGACCGTATCTAATGATGACCGTATCTAACATAGCTTGTAAAGATTATTGTGAATTTGGAACATCTCGTAATTCCCTAGTAGTAGAAATGCATTCATAGTAGAAATAGGATTTATGAAACCTGAACCCACAATTCACTATATTATTTTTTACCTTTTTGCAGAAGAAATGTAGTCACTTACCTAAAGCAAAAGGTAAACAAAAGCTGTCCTAATCAGTGCCAAGCCCTGCTTACAAAGGACTGTGAGCATGTTATAGAGCTCACCAGATTTTTTTCCTTAAATTGTTAATTTTAATTCAAGTGCATGAAGTTATATTACAATGGAGGCAGGTTATTGCACAACCTGAACAACTTTTAGGTCTACCAGCCCATCTGTGCTGATATGCATTCACACTTCTATTTAATCCTCCTCCTCTTTTAACCTGATGTGCAGAACTAGTAGAAGTGATTATAGATATTTCCTGGGTTTTACACTCTGAAAGATGGAAGGATAATGTATTCCTGAGTGAAATAATCATGTATCTTGAGTTCATTTAAGCAGGTTTGTGTGAGTACTACAAACCACTTAGAGTTTTTAAGTACTACCAACTGGGTTGCAATTGATCATTTTAATAAAACACATTTCTTCAGTGTTAACATCCATTTTATACTTACCTTTACCAAAGACCAACTTGAAAGTTTGTGGTTCCTGGAACCTAGCTAATTTCAGGTAGGAATTAGGAAATATTCAAAGCAGTAGTATTTGTAGCAAAGAGGAAAGGGCATTATAATATAATAAAAACCTAAAGGCTGATAATATCTTGTGAGATGGTGGGATTCAAAATGGCAGCAAGTGAATCAGAAAAAGCTGAAATATCAATGAAAAGGAGAAAAGTTGCATTTCTCAGAGGAATGAAGATCATAACTTCTTTATCCAGGCAATATGTGAGAAATAGCACAAGGTTATGTGAAATGTCTACTAAGATAAAAGGAAGCTGTTCAAATGCTGGCAAAGAACATAATCAAAGCAGCCAAGAAATTTGGATGTAGAAAACACATGCTAGGGCTGCTGGAAATTTGCTTGTTTCACTTCTGTTTAGGATAGTGATGAAAAAAAGTTTGACACTGGCAGAGGATCAGATATTATAATAGATTATGGACTTCAGGAATTTAGTGAACAAGTGAAAATTGCAGTCATTTCCAGAATTCCCAGCTTCACATTTACAAATGCAGAAGATAGAAGAAAAGAAATTTTTTTTTTTAATGCTGGACAAAATAATCAGAAACAGCTAATGGAATTAAAAAATATGTCATTTTACTTTTTTTTTTTTTAATACATTTTTAATGTGGGGTGGGTTCTTTTGGTGAACTGTTAGTATGATTCTAAGATGCTACTGATCAGCATTTTGAGTTAGTAAGACAAAGTTACCTGAAGTTATTCTAGTGTAAGCACTGCAGGAATTTTTTAAGAATTCTGTATCTAATATACTTCTAAAAATTGAATGTAAAGACCTGTAACAAGTAACAACTAGTTAATTAAACAACTAAGATGTTAGGTAGCCATCCACGATGTTTCTTGTATATGGAAGGTATTCTAACCAAATGTTGAGGATGGAATGTAACAGGCAATTACTGAATACAGAACAAGAATAGTAGTACTCTGGAGAGAGAATAAGCTACCTAGAAAATGCTTAAACAGAGATATGGGTCATTAGTGTTACACTGTGGTTCTCAATACTTTAAAGCACACAATTGCAATTTCCTATTGATCTGATAATTGAACCTTATTTTTCCGGAGGGTTTGGAAGGTCCTCTTGGCCCTATGGGACCTCAGGGGCCTCAGGTAAGGGAACTAGAAGCTTCCAAATATTCTGTAAGTTTCTTCTACATACAACCTGTCAACTCTGTGGAGAGCAGTGTGATTGGTGCATGAGGCAGCAGCACAGCAGAGACTGGCAAATCTTTGTTGTTTGGAAATAATTCTCAAAGAAAAAAGCTTTGTTGCTGCTGTTGCTTAAATCTATTCAAATTTAGTGATGTGTGTGGCCCACTTGTGCTCTCCAATGGCAGAGCTCTCCTCTTACCTGTAAAACATAATCATGCCCTGTACGCTCCTACTTGCTAAATTCCTCTTATATGGCAGCATCCATATTTAATACCTCACCTACTCTGTCTCTTCCAGAGAGTCATTAATTATTTCCTTCTGTGTAAGGACACAATGGTTGTAATAATGTCTGGGAATTAAGATTAATCACTTTATCATCACGGATAGGTGCAGGGAAGTGACTTCTTACAAACAGAGCTAAATAGGGTGTCACAGCTTAGTTTATTTACTTGGGCAGAAGAGGGAATATGAAACTATGGCAAAATCGGGAGCAGGAAGAGAAAGGAAGAGAAAGCCTCAAATAGAACAGATGCAATTCATGTGGAGTAGTTGAGATCCTTTCTGCCAGCACTGGTTATTGAATATTAACAATATTCAATGTGCTGGGCACTTCCCAGGATATGACACAGAAAACTCTTGCCTTTTAAAGCTTAGAGTCACAAGCTCTTAAAAAAAAAAAAAAAAAAGTGGTATGTTTTAGTGCAATTGTTCAGACCAAGTGCAAAAAAACCCCACCTTTACATGCATCTTCAAAGGCAACTCATTCTATATTTTGGCTTTTGTGTAGGGTATCAGGGGACCTCAAGTGAGCCAGGCCCAAAAGGCATTCAAGGAAGCAAGGTAAGATGCATTTGTAGGTGTAGATGTTGTACAGGGAGAGGAGATGCGGAACCTCTGTGTAGAATCTTTATACTTTATTATCTTTTTTCCTTGGTAGTTTTTCGTTAGTGGTGTCCTTTGCACAGCAATAGTGTACACCATCTGCTTGGTACACTAAGGTGCCATCATGTTCTGAAGGCTTGGTATTGTTGGCACATACATCCAATTTTCCATCTGGGTCTTCAAGGGCATTTTATAGGGCCACAACAGGGTGCTACCAAGACCTGTCTAGAGCCACAGCACTTAGGTTGGAATTTAAATCATCTGAATATGTCTCTTGGCTTCAGCCATCACTTGGGAAGTTTTTTCTAGAATGTTTTTTTACTAAAATGCCTTGTGTTTAAAGATTTTAAGTAGTTCCCGATGGTGGTTAAAATCTTAGGATTAAGTATTTAAAGTAATTTTAATTGTGTGAAAACTCAAGATAACTTTGACATTGGTGGGGGTGTAAGATTTAGTGATGATTAATGCTTGAATTCTATTTCAAATAGATCATTTGAAATTAATGACTACAGCTTGTCAAGCAATATCCGTTGGATAAAGTGATTAATGTAGGCAGTCTTCTGGTTTGCAAACCTTTGAGAAATTGCAATATGTGAATACAGATAATTGTTCATGGGATAGCTATACTGTATTGTTTGGTACAGAAAGATGTTTCATGTATCCATTTGAAAATGTAGGGTCTAATGACAAAGACTTTCTATCACAGGATTATTGATAGCCTGGTTATGCAATGCCATACATAAGTTACACAAGGCAACTAAATTCACACAAAGTAGTTTGCCAAAGATGCAATATTTAGACACTCATGCTTTGTTTCTAAGGCAACAATTTCAGTTGAAGATTAGCAGAAATAAATTTAGATATGTGAAATATTTATTGTAAAAATTTTGGAATACTGACATCCATCATGATTTTCCTATTCCTGACAAATGCTTTTTCATACTTCTTAATTCTTCATCTTCTCAACAAAATGCTTGATTAGGAAAGCTGCTACACAATATTTCAGAAGTAGGGAAAGAAAGAGGACAGTGGGTCTGAATGAAGCTATTCATACATGTGGGAGAAAAGTCATGCCTCTCTTTGACTGCAGTACAGCAAATGACAGTAATTTCAGTAATTTTTTAATCTGTCATTTCATACTGATGAGTCCAAGATAGTACTACCACATTCTTTTATTATGCACTGAACCATATTATTCAGATGTTGTTTGTCCTCCTGTCAGTCTTTTCACACACTTTCATGTCTATAAAGTACATGCAACTCTCTCTAGGATTCATCTACCTGGATATAGTATTTATTGTCTTGTTACACTTTATCTGCACATTTTCAGCATGAATAAGAGTTCCCTCTTTTTTCAGCTTCCAACTCTGCAACCTGCTACTTAAAGTCTATAGTCAAGGATTTTCCAGGCTCAGACATCTATCATAATACGTTTATTGTGAGACAAGTTTGATTAGTGTGCTTAGGTAATTATTACGCTGTGACTCCAGTCAAAACATATGTATGTCTGGAGGTTATGTCTTGTCCATACCTAGCGCCAAAGCTAACCTTTGGCATTTTGGAGCTTATTTGAGATGAGTGAAAAATTTTTTAATCATCAGTACAAATAATCAGTGGTTGTTTACAGCTTAGTAAACACCCATTCAACCAGTAAAGGTCAAGACCTTTTCTGGTTCAGACACATAGCAGTCTTTCCAGTATCTTTTGTCCTTACAGAAGGATTATTCTATTACTCTTTTAAAATTAGTTTTCATGGCACATAATACAATATATCTGAAAAGTGGCAGTTACTTATAACTGCTTTGGATAAAAAAATAAGTGTATTCTTAGTGCAGTTCCTTATACCCATGGCCTTTCCATGCTAATACTTTCTGCTTTTTGAGCTGAACTAGTGACTTCTCCCTGGTTTAGCGGAGCTAAAGGCAGTTGCATGGCATTAGTATCGATGTGACACTGTGCAGACCACCACCACTGAACATTTTTATTCATTGTTAGTGGGCCATGTTGAGGTTTGAAAGAGGAGATTCAGTTCCTCAAAATATAAACTCCGGATCAAGCTCAGCCTACAGATGTTTTGGGTCTCATTTGTGAAGTCTACAGTTCCCTCATACACCTCGCCAGCTCAGTCCTTCCCACACCTCTGTAAGGCAATGCCGTACGCGTTCTCTCACTTTACAGCCAGGCAGCAGATGCTGCTGGGGACAGCATCATCTCTGTGCTGTCTGGATGCTGCTAGCTCTGGCAGCCAGCAGCAGCATTGCAACTTCAGCTAATTTAATTTGACTTGTCTGAAGCACGATAGCATAGAATAAGAACTTTTCACACCTTAACTTCTGTCATTCATATGCATTTTCTCATTCGCTCTTAAGATGCTTGCTAATCTACCCTTTGTGAAGTCTTATGGCTGCACAACACCCTAAATTCTATCCCTTTTCATGGCATTGCCTTATCATATTGCCATTAATGAACTGAATCTCTTTCAAAGTCCCACTGCCTGCATTGACCAGCTTTCCATCGACTACAGTAGGAACTCAGCCAACATGTTTCCACATATATACCTAAGTTTAGGTGTGATCATACAGTGCAGAAACACATCCTTAACTTCTTAAAGTCTTTCTGATGCATTTCACAATCAGTCCTTATGTTCAATAACCTCTTTAATATACAAGCGAACTTCATTACTTTACTTTCACCCTTTTCAAGTCATACATGGATATGTTATACAGCCTATATCCGGCAAAGAATGCAGCTCAGCATAGCATTAAATAAACCCAGTTTTTGCTATTAAGCAGACTTAAATACCATTTTCTCCATTTGCATTTCTGCAAAGCTATAACTTCTCAAAACCATCTAAATGGTTTTATTGCCATATATACAAATTTTCTCCATAAAGAGGTTGAGGCATTTAAAATGACAAATTTCAACTCCACTTCTGTAAAAATAAAAATACATGTTAATGTTGACTCATATTATTAGCTTACCTGACTAAATATATTTCCATTTAACTTCCATGTTAACAGTACACCTACAACACAGTATAAAACATTGTAACTTTAAGAGAAAAATATTAGAATGTAATAGGACATTTCACTCAATCGTAGTTAGGATTTGGGAGCTGGCTGTTTTCACTGTGTCTTCTGTCTTCTGAATCAGTCATCTTGGTCCTGTTCCCCATGCATGTCATGACCAAAGGACCAGGATTACACTGTCTGTTTTCTGTTTTGCTGACTTTTTACTGCCTACTGACAATGTTTCATTAGAAAAACGTTAAGTTTACAAAAGAAAAATATATACTGTTAAAGCTAAATTCTACATTATTTGTTTCTCTCAGAAACTTGAGATACCAAGAAAAATTAACATTCACAGCTGTGCTTTATATTTTCAACATGCATGCATCTATTAATTTATTCAAAATAGTAGGAATTAGTTTGTTTTCATTCATTCATTAAAAAAAAGCTTAACTATTATTTACTATTTAAAAAATCAACAACAACATTTTCAATACAATAGCACCAATAAGGTTTCATAAAAGTGTTTTTATTCAAAGTGATTTTGAAAATTTTCTTGTTATTTAGGGGAATAGTAGTGACTATTCATGAATTTCAGTGGACAGTTTACAAACAGAATGATATGGTTACAGATTATAAAATGGGGCATAAAATTAGGAAGTGGACATGCCCTGTGTTCCACTCATAAAGAAGTGATGAACAGGGAGTACTCATGGCTGTCATGTCAGAAGTGACATTGAGTGTGTTTGTTTAAACTCTTAGACCAGCTACTAGAAATAAAGTACACATTTCTAGAAATGACATATTCATGGAAAGACTGAGAACAACACATTCTTAAAAGCCACTGCTATAATAAGAGTCTCTTTTGAAAAATTTCATATTCATAGTAAGGTTCTGAATTAGTGTCTAAAGTTGTATGAACAGACATGTATTCAAACTTTTAAGGAAACAGTTAAGCTTGAATGTGAGTATTCCAAGAGTTACTCCCGTTAAAACACCTTTGGATGGTTCAGTGAAAAATGCATCATTGTGTATTTCCCTGAAAATATGCCCAAGAATGAACTGCTAAGGGATGCTGCTTCTTTAGTGATGACTTATAAATTCTTTCCTTGCTTATGTAGCAAGTTAAGTCATTCCCAGTAGACTGAAAAATCCAATTTCCCTGTAAAATATAGTTCTTAGGTACTTCAACTAGACGAGAAATACAAAAGATCAACAATAGCTGTTAAAATATCTATATCTACTTACGTTGTTGCTGCCAATGTTTACTTTAAAAATATAATCATTATATTTGAAATACTATTTTTTACTATAGCTTAACCTTTATTGCTTTGTAGATTGAAATACAGAGTCTTTGTGTTCCTTACAGTATGTATTTACTTACTGATAAGCGAAGACATTCTTTATATTGGCAATAACTGGTACTCATCATAATATAATAAACTTTTTTTTTTTCTTTTTGGAGTGGGGAGTAGACTGTTAAGTATGTTCTCAAATGGGAACATTAAAGCATTTAAATATGTAAAAATACTAAGCTGAAATCAAGTGTAAATTTTCCTTCCCATTGCTGTAGCTGATATTAGATGATATCTGAAAGGAAAATGTAACAGGGAGAGAAAAAAAGATTTTAAGCAGAGTGCTAGACAAAGAAAATAATAACAAAGATGTACTTTGAAAAACAGACTTTCCCTTCTACATATAGAGACAATACTATTGCCAGCGCTTTCTGGTTTTAGCAGATTCCACATTACCTGTAGCACCAAAACCACAGAAGATAAAAGCCAGGCTTATTAATAGCCACATGAAGTTTGAAATATGCAGTTTTTTAAAGTTTAAGTTTCCAAGTTTTTTATGTTATCTAGCAGAAGGTAGGGTTTCTTTCTCCATTAATGCTCAGGCATCCTCTGCTATCAGGGAGAAAGCATTTAACTACCCTTCATGCTTTTTATCCTTTTTACTGTTTAGGCTGTTTACGCTGCCTACACCAGTACCTACCAGTACAACTGCTGCAAGGCAGATTACATGACACCAGTCACTGCAAAGAAAACTTTGTACTGTTTCTATCATGGTTTGAAAAAGAGCTTTTGGAGAAACATTAAGTTCAGTAGAACTCCCATCTGCGTTCAAGGCAAGGCATATATTAGCACAGATCTATCACATGGCTGAACTTGAAACAGTGAATGATTTGTGATAGGAAGCATACTTGAGAGTTACTGCCCTTGGGAATTCTGTCAGGGAGTGTCAGAAATAGATACAAAACACAGTGTCCACTTGGACAACAGGGCAAAAATTGGAAAACCCTTTCCAAACACAGCAAAGGGATTTGGTTTATTGTTTCAGCTGAGAGATGAGCCTGTATTTTTCAAATGTTATTTTTTAGAATGGAACAAGTTCCAACACCATTTCAGAGGTTTAGGTTTGACAAGTGGAGCCAGCATGCTTAGTGGCATTTGCTGTTTCCAGAGTACTACTAACAACAGTGGTGCTGCATGCTGCTGTATTATTTTTTTTTTTTAATCTTATAGATTTTTTTTAATATATTTTCAACTTGACATATCTTTTGCATCCATTCTGTGGGGCGTGCTGATACATCATGGCACAACAGAGATCTCAGACTGCCTTCTCCATGAAAGAAATGAGGACTGTGAATTTGAAAAGCTAGTATTTCATATACTCCCTGGCCTTGAGCAGCCTGTGCCTATTTCTTTCTCACTGAGTGTCCTGGGTTCAGCTATAGCAGTCATTTTTTCTCCTTCTTAGGAGCTGGTGCAGTGCTGTGTTTTTGACTTTCAGTCTGGGAACAATGCTGATAACACCGATGTTTTTAGTTTTTGCTCAGTAATGTTTACTCTGACCAAGGACTTTCTCAGTTTCATGCTTTGCCAGGGAGGAGGGGAAGCCAGGAGGAAGCAGAGACAGGACACCTGACCTAAACTGGCCAAAGGGGTATTCCATACCACAGCACGTCATGCCCAGTATATAAACTGGGGGGAGTTACCCGGAAGGCCCAGATCGCTGCTCGGGTCGGGCTGGGTATCAGTCAGTGGGTGGTGAGCGGTTGTGTCCTCTCCCCTTGTTATTCCTCTTATCATTATTATTGGTAGCAGTAGTGATTTGTATTATACCTTAGTTGCTGGAGTGCTGTTATCTCAACCAGTGGGAGTTACATTCCTCCGATTCTCCTCCCCATCCCTCTGGGAGCGGGGGGAGGAAGGAGGAGGGGGGGGAGTGAGCGAGCAGCTGCGTGGTTCCAGGTTGCCAGCTGGGCTTAAACCACGACACTGAGGCCCCTCTTCCTTGAAGTGGGGAACTCCATCCTTAACTAGACTGTCTCTAGGCCCTGAAGGTACATGGAGCTGTATCTGTTAATGTTGCTTGTCAAGTGAAGAGCTATTGAAGTAAGAGTTGGTGGTAAGGTAAGGGAGCCTATAGGCTGAAAGGCAAAGCTTCTTGGACACCAGGCTGGTGTGCTTGGCTTAATGTTCTTCCAAAACCCATGCTTTGTGCCTGTTGACCAGCTTTGCAAGAAGCACAGCTATGGGTGAAAGTGGCAGGAGTATCTCTGTTCTTGGGGGTGTGTCTGTGCATGGAAATTTGCTTGCAAAACTTTCTACTGAAACCTAAATACAAGTTTTACTTGTAGAGCTCTTTTTGGGATGATTTTGTTCTGGAAGCAGAGAACACAATGGGGCTGGGTGTGTGTAGATACAGCACTGTGGCTTTGCTGGTACCATTCTACCAGTGCACTTTTTCATACTGATGCACAGTCAACAGCTGAACTTCCATTGATGCTTAGATGCTTGTGACTTCTTGGCATGAATGAAATTGAGTACCCTAAAGTACTACCACTGGAAATGTAATGGAGGCTACTAAGTCACTAAATCTCTTTTTGGTTTAGCATATATTATTTCCTAAAGAAATAGTATTAAGCATTTCTTTACATATTTCCCCAACTTCTTGTCTAAACAGAATCAGCCCCAAAAGACCTGAAATCCAACTAACTGTCAGCTTAAAGGACAACAGTACTTGAAACAGAGAGTTTGTGAAGAGAATTAAAGAGGAGACAAGTATGAATTTTGGTTGTATTATTCTTGGCCTTCCCGAAATTTCCTGCTTATGGGAAACATTTAATAAAAATGAGTTTTGATCAGCTGATTTTAAAAGGACAATTTGTTCAATGCCAAATTAATCCCATGGAGGAACTGGAAGTCTAGAAGATGGACAGCTGAGGAATTTTTGTTGGTTTTGTAGTTTGATCAGTTTCAGAACAAACACAGGAGGAAAAAAAACCCAAAAACCCAGCTATGAACAAAATGGGTCAATTTCTAATTAGCTTCCTACCAGGAAAAGATTGTGTCATTTATGATAATCTAGATACCCATCAACTGAGTTGTGACTCTGGTCATTAAAATATAATTAAGAAACCTCAAAAATAAGGACTACCTAGATATACAGTAAACTTCTTTAGTTTGTATTTTGGCAACAGGTACATGCACAGAATCCACATTAAAGCAATGTCAATGTTGCTGATACCCTATCAGTGTGCTATGTGGAGACATAGGTGCTGTTTTGCTGAGTGATACCAGCTTTCTCTTGATATTTTTCTGCCTTTTAAGGCTTATCTCCTAGTGATGCTTAATTAATTCATTAGATTATAGAGGTGTGCTATAAAATCTTGCATTTTGAATAAGCATTAAATTTTATAGCTGTTCTTCAAAATATCATATTGTCCTGTAATGGAATGAATTTAAAACTGGACATTAAGTTCCACTTTATTCTAGGTTTAAAGCTTCAGTAGTAGCCCTACAAGTGCATAATTATCAGAAATTAAGCTTCAAGGATAATCTGTTTATTTACTTTCACTGTGTATTCTCACTCCTGCATTTTAGCTTCATTCTTTGGCAGATTACAAACTGATAGATTTCTGGAGAAATTTCTGGCTTTGAAGTCATATTTTATACTTCCATTTTCCTCTTCAAGTGCAAAAATCTCATTAAAAGGTTTCACAACTCAGCATATAAAATTTCTTGGTATATAAAGAATTTCAAATCCCAAAATATGAGTACCTCCCCAGAAAATAAACACAATTTGATAAGAAGCCTTTTTAACAATCATGTGGCTATGTTGGCTTTTTTAGGAACATAGTAAACAAACAAGAGAATTAGGAGCTGCAGTCAAATATAGCAATAGGAACAACAGTCATGATGTGCAGGTGTTGCTGTGGGAAGAACCATGAGTGCAATGTTTAAAGCATAAAACCTATTTAATTTCCAATTCCCCTCTTTCTAGCAAGAAAAAAGCTGAGGAAGCACCAAACTATTGGATATAGTCAGGACCAAAGATATGACAAAGAATAAATATAAGAATGCTTTAGAACATTATTATCTATATATTACATAACATACCAGTAACTTGTATGGCTAGGATATTGACCTTACTCCTAATCTAAACAGGGAGTTGGGGGATTTGTTGGTTATTTGTGAGGTTTTTGCTTGAAAACCATATTTATAAAGCCCTAAATGAAACTGTAGAGAGACACTCTGGCAGAATTTGGTGAAGGTTCAATTCGCATTAATAGTTTCTTCACTTTTTTTTTTTTTTTTCCTTCTCTGTAGGGAGAGCAAGGCCCTTTAGGTCCCTATGGTCTTCCAGGACAACCTGGTGTTGGACAGCCAGGACCCAAGGTAACTTTCAGTAGTGTTGAAGTGCCAACTGTTGGCAGTCATTTTTTGGATGAAAGTTCTCACCTGCTGTTTTATCAAAGTGAAGCTCTTAATATCTAAATTAAAACTATTGATTAAAAATATAGATACAATATTGATAGGGTTTTGTATTTGCATAGGATGGAGATAACAAACCTGGCTTTTCAGCAACTCTAACTTTTTATTGTGGTCCCACTGATATAACAGAAGTCAGAAATAATGCCATTTAAATGGGGGTTAAATATGTGAGATCATTTTCAAGCACTAGCAAATGCTTGCACTAATGGGTAAACCATACTTCAAGGCACAGAAATACATCGCAGTCACTGTGATGCCCAGTAAAGTTATGGATTTGCCTTGTTATTCTTCACTGGGGAACAGATATTCTTGCAGGTTATCAAATTCTCTGTCTCATGACACATTTAATTCTTCAATTTTATTTTCTTGCAAATGAACAGAAGGTGGAATCTACACTTGCTAATTTGGAAAAGTCATATCTGCTAATGCTGACCAACCAAACATTCTGGAGAACCGGAAAAGCATCTACATAGGGAACATGACTGCTGAGTTCATGAGAGTTTTGTCAGAGACCTACAGCTGAGACTCAAAAAGATACCTAAATCGGACAGAACTAGATCTCACCCTAGTTGTTCTGCCTGTGAAGTCTTTGGTGTTGCTTTATGCTATTTTTTTCCCTATTTTTTTGGAGCCAAGTGCCAATGACTAAAATATCTGCACTTTTTGGCTTTTACTGCTCTAATTTGTACATTCTTTGAACTCCCACATATTTTCTGTGCAGTGGGGCAGACCTTGGAACATAGAGGTTTTATACAGCTCAGAACCTAGTAGTAATTTGCCATGTAAAAGGAAAAACACTGGGTCATTCTAGAATGGAGAAGGACTGTTGCTACTGGTCTCTGTAGTACTCTGTACATCTGTATATCTGTAGGATGTAAAAGTCCTCTGTACTCTTTGCCTTGAGGCACAGTCTTCAGTAAACTGAAGGAATTGTGAAGATTATGACACTTTATAAACAGAAGATACAGACACTATGCAGTTCCTGGAGTTCCCATGCAATCCTATATTCCACTGAAGCAGGCTGCAATTTGAGTGTCTAGATAGAGGCTACAGTGAGGATTCCTCACACATGA